GTGTCTCCAGTCTTCCCACAAACAGGACCGTCAGGTAAGACACAGAGAGAGAGAGAGAGAGAGAGAGAGAGAGAGAGAGAGAGAGAGAGAGAGAACAAAAAACAAAAAAAAGTATGTGCCTCGTACAGGTGTCTCCAGTCTTCCCACGAACAGGACCGTCAGGTAAGACACACACACAGACACAGAGAGAGAGAGAGAGAGAGAGAGAGAGAGAGAGAGGAATACTGCAGGCGCGCACCTGGAAACGAGCGACACTGCAGGCAGGCAAGCATGTGTTCTATGTGAACAGAACACCCGTCTGTTCGAATAGAACAAGCATGCGTACTATTTGAATAGAACATACCTGCGTACTACTTCAACACGTGTACTATTTGGATTTCAGGGACCGACTTCAAGAAATCTACTTTTTCAGGGAAAGTTGAATAGTACATACGTGCGTTTTGTTCGGGGAAGACTGTAGCCATTTCGGGTACCCGGGGCCTCCTTTTGTCTGGTGCTGGTCCTTTTGGCTGGTGCCACTGGCCATTTCGGTCCCCTACTCGAGCCCCAAAAAATGCGGCACGCTTCACATCGCCACTTCCTAGACCTGTCACTTGTCAGACGGGGTGCGCTGTCTTATGAACAGCACAGGGTAGGTTACAGGGGCAGAGGGAAAGAGAGAAAGAGAGAGTGGGAGGGTGCTACAGGTGAGTCCATTCTTGTTTTGTGAGTTCGTAGTTGCACCTCACAACATCTAGAAAACAAAATATGGTGTTGCATCTTAAACCACCAGTACCTTTCTCAGCTATCTTCTTTCTTTTTTTTTCGCAAAAACGTCTGTGGCAGCCTGCGATTGGAGGTGATACCAGCATCCTCCAATAGCAAGCCCCAGTTTATAGATGGCTCCAATCTATTGGTGGGGAGCATCACCTGCTGGAAACCGGGTCCAGTGTCCCACTGACAAGATCAGAGAAGGTACACCTGGGAGAACAACATCGATTGCCCTCTCACGAGGGGATTAACTGTCCGCCTAATTAGCAGCCAGGTCACAGCATGTATTAAGGTCTAGCCATGTAGAGGGTGACAAACTGTCTTCCAATCTACCCTAATCCTTCACAGTCATAGTTGTGCACGGCAAACCCTAGGCGGCATGCTCTTCCCCCTGCTATTTCGCCAAGCAGAGATCTGGCCATCCCCTATTGACTATCCTATCTCCTGCCCTCCCCCTATCCACCACCCAATCAACTAGCCTTCCTCTCGCCCATCTCCATCTTACTGCCCACCCAGTGCCAGACCACGGAATATGACAGGCGTGGCAGGCAACAGAGAGGGAAAACAGGGGGAAACTACAGATCAAGGAGAGGCCCAGGCAGGTAATGTTTACGCAAGAGTGAAGCAATCAAAAGATATCCCAAACCCACCGAACCCATCCTTCCCCCCAGTCAACTGCCTGAGCCCCCGTTATGGAGTGGTGCATACCTTTCATATGAAAAGAATTGAGCTGCAGGGCTTCCATCGTGTATCCTGACCATGGTGCAAGGGGGAAAAAAACACTCGCCCCAACCACAGCAAAGCTTTGGGCATGCTTCTGGCTGCCGTTTTCATACCCTGTGGTTGTACCGCGCTGAAGGTCATTGGTTTAACCTCTGGGGGAGGATAAAATCCAAAAAAGCCATGTCCCCGTCCCCATGGTACGGTAATTCATCACACATGGTGTCGTTGCCAGCATCAGACTGTTGGGTAGATGAGGAATCAGTTTTCAAAAAACTTTCCAGAACAAGCGGGGGAACCGCATCACCTACCTTCGTCGAAGCACCGTTGCTCCTTGTAGCCTCAAACGATGATGATGATGTCGTTTGATCTTCTGCAGACTGTTGGTAAGATAGTGAAATGGATCTAAAAAAACTCCCAGAGCAGGCGCCCGGATTGCCGCTCCCACGTCCATTGAATCTCCGTTGTTCACTACAACAGACTGAGGCTGACAGTCCTCAAATGATGCTGACACCATATGATCATCACCCAATTCTTCACACGCATGAGCAACTGGCTGCTGTTGCTGGACACAGAGTGGAGTAATTGGTGATGTCACTGTTGTTCGTAATGATGTCGTTATTATTGTCGATGTTGCCCGTGTTGCCGATGTTGATGTTGTTGATGTTGTTGATGTTGTTGATGTTGTTGATGTTGTTGATGTTGTTGATGTTGTTGATGTTGTGCGTGTCACGCTATGCTGGCACTTAGATGAGAACAACTCATCTGGTGGACCGCCCATGGCTCTTCTCGCTAGAAGCTCGACAAGTATGTCTTTCACCTGCGTCAGCATCCCAGTGCACTCGTGTAGGGAAGCCATTGTCTGTGCTTTGTCATTCATGTCCAAATGTTGGAGCGAGATCTGCGCATATAGTTCCTCTTCCCATCCATCAAAGATCCCCTCTCCCTCCAACAAAATATCATGTGGTAAGTTGTTATGTTCTTGACTCAATACCTCGTGCATCTCCTCCAGTTGCTGTCACAATCAACATTGCAGAATTTGCCTCCATGGGCTGCAGGGAAGGAGGGGTGTCCCACATCCCCCCATCAAACATGGTCTTCGTCTCCATCTTTGCGACCGTTGTTGATGTAGCAACCGTTCTTCCGCTGATGTTTTCTTTCACTGCGACCACCACGTTGTCGAGCGCATTGGTCCCGCAGAGGGACCCTCCTGACCGCGTCACGCAGGATTTGGCAAGACTTGTCGCGTAGAGCGTCATTGCCGCTCTAGCTGAGTGTGTCAGCCATACCTCTCACGAGCCCCTACAACAGGACAGGGTCACGCGAGACACTACTTACCTCCACCCGCAGGACCTGTCACCATCCTTTGGGTGGGTGTATCCTCGTCGAGCTACCAGACCGCATGCGAAGACTTTTCGTTTGCAATCGTAGAGGTGGTCTGGCTGAGAGCATTTCTCGTTCGTTGTAGTGCCTCGCGTGCAGGTCCGATTTGAACATTAACTATGTGTCCTTTGGGCGGTACACACAGTTAATGTTCAAATCGGACCTGCACGCGAATCGTAGGTCGAGACGCTGATCTCTCGAACGCGACCCTACGTCGGTCGACTAGGACGACTATTCTAATCACGCGATACACTTTCCAATGAAGACCAGTTCTTACTCGCAATATCGCGCCTAACCCCTTTTTCTACCTGACCCATAATTTTTCATGAGATGGAACGCACAGACATCACACGCAAGACCTCGCATAAATAAGACGTCGCCACCCAAACCTCTATCATAATGACCAACCATGCATAAGTACATGAGCGGTCGAGATGATGGAGTACTATGTGGTGCCCATAAAGGTGCGGTCCCATCTGAGTCATGGGACCATATTCGATGCTTAGGTGTCGGATGAAGCGGGCGCTGAAGGGGTTAATCCTTTAGCGAGCACAAAAGCGAACTGAACACCGTGCGGTGTCCCAAAGGGTGTAGCGTAAGTTGGCTTCGAGGGCAAAAGGAATATTGAAGTGGTGGTGAGTTGTACCACCACCTACACGTTAACCCTTCTACCCAAAACTTTATCGTTTTACCAAAATAACTTTAATCAAGGAAAGTTCAAATCGTTGAATTCATGCAAT